GGATCAGGACCCACTTTCTGAACCCTTTTTTTTTCAATTCCATCAAATATACTAGGCATGCCTTGGGAAATTTTGGGCTTTCGTTTGCTGAAATACAAATAAGAAGTGAAAAATTGTAGCGAAAGAACAATAAGAATTGCAGAGAAGCAAAACAACCCAAATTAAAATTAAATTTTAAGGGATGAAGCTTTGGTAGGGATGTAGTGCGACAGTATTCACAGGGATTAAAAATTAATAAGGCTGTGTTTGGTTTGATAGAAAATAAGAGAGCTATGTTCGTCATATTGCATTTGTACCATCCAGTTGGGTCAACCCTAATTGCTTCTTGATATTTCTGGCCCGTCCAAGTGAAGATGACTAGGCCAAAATGGCAACATCCAGATAGGCTGGGCTGGGGCAGGCCTTAGGACAAAAGTCTAAGGGCTTAAGCCTAGCCCAACCTCTGGACATGATACTGGGCCGGACTGTCCATTGCCATCCAGCCTATTTCCGTATGTTAGATGATTCTAATTTTTAAATGAAAAGCCACAACAAAGAGGGGAATTGATGTTATGCCACCTTTTCATTTGTTCCATTGAAACAACCAAACATGAGAGAGACATTAAAACAAAGTCTAGTTCTCTGTTCTCGATTATCCCTGTAAATAAAAAAAAAATAGAGATAATATATTAGCTAGTTGTTTTCACTAAACAAATTATCCTATTTCTTCCATGTGAAGATGAATATATAGCTTAATGTAAGGGAAAAATCTATGATAGAAAAGATATGGTATGAAAAGAGTTTTGATCAATCAAAATCCATTCATCAATTTTAATAAATAACACCTGAATCATTATTGATCAGTTGTTTTTCCCATATCATAGTCGAAAACCATAAAATCGGGTGTATTGCATTGTATTGATGACCGAATGAAACATCTTACGGGTGTTTTATTACCCTTAAAACTGACCACCACCCTGTGAAAATATCAGAGTAAAAAAAAAGTTTTATAGTATCAAAACACCCAATACATATGTTAGTATGTATCGGATAATATCAATACTTTGAACCACGATTCCACTTATTAGGAATACATCCCCTATTAACTTGTATTAAAATCTGTATTATCTACCTATTATTTTGTATTTACTACATCCCCTATTAATTTGTACTTATATATGACTAATAATTAAGGGCGTACGATGTATGTGAGAAAATTTTCTTTATATTAATTACTTGAAATTTAGATATATCATAGTTAAGATAGAAATTAAAAATTAAAAAAGTAACAATATGATTAAATATAAACTTAAATACTTGTAGTAAATGTGCACATGTATTGCATGTGAAATTTTAAATTACAATAGCAATTACTACTACTACTACTACTATTTGTATTGCATTTTTCTGTTATAAATAAAAAAAAAAATTATTTTGCTAGTTATTTTTATTTAATATGATGAATATATAACATTAGAAATGTTCTCAAATGTTTTCAACAAAGTTCTGTATTTTTTCATTTTTTGTATTCTATTTTTTTAAATATTTATTATTCAATTATGACGTCATGAGTTTCTTTGAAAAGTTGGATCATTGACTCACCATCTTGATAATAAAATAGCTTTCCTTTTGGATCAATTTTAAATTATATATTTCATCTACATTATATAAATAATTTTTATTTATCACACTTAATTTTTATTTGACAATGATATCATTTGACCAAATCACTAACCCACCACCCAAAAAGGAAAATATTATGATTTTTAAGTTGACATTAAATTTTGTATTACATTTCCATCATTAATAAAATTGTTTCGTATGTATAATACTTATTTTTTTCAATATAATGAATGTATAACATTAGACATGTACCCAATATTTTATTTTTTATAAATATATAACATTAGATATGTGCCCAAAGTTTTCTCTATTTTTTATTTTATGATTTTTTACATTTTCTATTTTTTAAAATTTTATTATTTGACTATGACATCATTTCATTTCTAGGTTCATTTTAAATTTGGCATTCCATTTCCACCATTAATAAAAATACTTCTTATATTTTATACTTATTTTTGTTTAGTATAATGAAAATACAATATTAGAGATATGAATAATTCTTTTTATTTTTTTGAGTTATATATTTTATTTATTCTAATTTTTATTATTTAATTATGACATTATTTATTAACAAATTTTACCCCAAATGGTTGAATTGCTTGCCCACCACTGGGAGGGAAGAAAATGGTTTTGTTTTTGAATTACTTTTCAAAATATTTTTTATACTATTAAAAATAATGTTGTGGATTTAATTAATAAATTTTAATGATGAAAAAAATATATCTTAAATATAGGATTTAATGAGAGAATATACCTTAGATATGAGATTTAGTGAGAGAGAATGGGAAAATATTTTATTTTCAATTGGTTTTAAATTTTACATTCTATTTCTATCATTAATAAAAACATTTTCTTATTTATCATACTTATCATTGTTTAACATGTCAAATATATGATGTTAAAAATGTTCTCGATTTTTTCAACTTCTATATTTTTTTGCATTTTATCTATTTTTGAATTTTATTATTTAATTGTAGCAACATGGATTGGCCCATTTGAACCAAAATGGTTTAATTTGTTACCACTACCTAGATGAAAACACTATTTTTTCCAAGTAGATTTTAAAAGTGTAAGTTTTTATTCTATTGGAATTATTAATTTATTATGTATAGATTGGTTAATAGAATTTAATGATGAGAAGAAACAAAAATGCCTTAAATATATTCAATGAAGATGAATACAAGTTAATACCTTAAATGTTGGATTTAATGAGAGAGAGTTGAATGCATTAAATATCTTAAAATTATCTCTTTTCAACTCATTTAATAGCAATAATCGATTACCCTATTTTTCCTAATTTTTTATCAATAAATTTAAATATGGAGGGTTAAATTTTGTCCTCAGAAACTTGTAGAAATATTATTGAGGCTATTCGTGTTTTTAAAGTAGTATAGATTTATTAATTTAAATCTAAATTTTAATAACTCAAATCTTGCTTATACTTATTAAGCTCTCTCAAATACTACAAGAAGAAACTGACATTCCAATGAAAATATTTTTGGTAACATTTCCAAAATGGCTCAATCAACACAAATCAATAAGCAATGAAACCTCCCAAATGGGCCCTAATGCTCAGTTTGGAAAGAGTACGAATACAAATATGTAAAGTGCAAAACCTTGTATTTAGTATGTATTTGTACTGTAAATATTTGTATTCGTACTCCTTCCAAACCTAGTCTAAATATCTCCATCAAAGAATCTCGATTAAAACACGAAAAATATTTTGTGATGACAAGAAAACACCTCTCCAAGTAATAAAAATACCCTTTTGTACCAAATTTCAATACACCTTGCTATATTATAGCCAATTCATCAAGAGAAACCATATTCACCAATCACCAACATGACCAAGAAAGAAACTAAAGTAAAAGCATAAGCCGATGACCCAACAATTGAGGTTGGTGCTGTCAATGGGTCCGGTCTGGTTCGGGATAGAATGTAACAACCCTGAACCAATTATTAATAAGTTCAATATGGTAAATCCAGAACTGTCCCATCGGGACAATCGGTTCCGGCCCAATTATGCTTGAGATATCTATAATAAAATTTAAAACTTTGTTTTTGATAATACAATCTTGATAAAAATGACAGGCCTCTAGGCTCTAGATATTATTGCCTATATTATTGGTTCGGATGTAAATGAATTTGAAACAGCAGTAACTGGTCCCAATCCAATTATTAATCAGGATAAAACCATAGAATCAGAACCAACATAATTGGCTTGATCTATCGGTTAGACCTAGTTGAGATGGTCGCTTAGCATCATTTTTAAAAATTCAGGCATGGGATCAATCCCAAAGAACTGATGTTTTACCTACCTACCAACTTCTTTTGAAACACCCTCGAATCCTGCCTATACCTACCAACTTCTTTATTAATTCCTATTTAAATTTTAAACAGCTTTTAATCCCACCTAGGCTTTTTAATTCCTAAGTATTGGATCTAACACCTTCACCCTCAAATCCTGCCTAAACCTATTAATTCGTATTATATTAAAATCTGCAACAAGTACATTCTAATGTTGTACTTTTCTGGAGCAAGACAAACCATTGTGTATGGTATTAGGGAGAAAAAAAAAAGGGCTCTCTTTGGCCAATAGTGGAGCTATTTGGTTTGTACTTTTAACAGAGGGCTTTTGGTGAGCATTTGAGGCTCTTTGGGACTGCTGCCAAAGCTGCCACATGAAAGATTCTTGGATCACTTGGAACCTTATTACATGACACATCCAGCAAATTTGTCTAGATCCATAGTGCACATATAGTGAAAGCTCTTTTTGATGTGTCATTTAGATCTGATCACTGATCAGTAAGAGGGTGTTTGGCATGGCTGCCATTTTTTTTCTTTTGGAAAAAATGATTTCATTGAAAAACAAGAGCACCAGGATCAAAAATCCAATTACAACCATAGACACAAGCCCAATTTAACAAAACACTACGTGGAGATAATCACCAATAGCCTTTGATGTTGTTTTACCATAATCGATAACTTTGTTTGAAGTGCAATTCCATTTACATTATTAATACAAATGCATGAAAATGCAAATTCTTGTCCATTTTTATTTTGGGTTTTATTTCACTCCATTTGCAGTGTAAACAAGCAAAATAGGGCAAAAACTGAAACAAAAATAAATCGCTATTTGCACACAAATCATTTGAACTCCCATGTAGCAAGCCCTTGAGAAGTTGCTCTGTTATCTACCAACTAATTCTCCAAGGGTTTATTTGGCTTGTGGGAATAAGGGTCTTGTATTCAAATCGAAATGGCCCATTTTGATATTGCAGAATGGCAATTCTCATTGCAATCGGGCATAGCTTATGAAATTCCATTCTGATTCCAATTCCAAAGGTTTTTAATTCCGATTCAAACCATGAACCAGACGGACCTTAAATTCTAGAAGATAAATTCTAATAAGGTATATAATATATCAGCATTGAACAAAGGAAAAGATTACACAAAACAGCAGCAAAAGTTACTGAAGACGGTGATCTGCATAAGAGCGAATGACCTAACCATAAGCCTCTCCATGGAAAAGAAAGCTAACGCACAAGAGGCCTTACACTAAAAGTACTTTACACCTACTGGACATATTGTTTCTAGAATAACTTTAAAAGCACAAAAAATAAGACCAGCACCACGCTTTGGTACCATAATTTGATCATCAATGCTGGAAGGATTTGAGCGGAACATGAGGATCAATATCTACCAAGAGTGGGAGATCAACCGGCAGGGATTCAAGATTCAAGCCACCCTGTCTAAGACTTTCCACAACTTCCTCAAACACAATTTTGTTCCCAACTGGAGTCAGGTGCAATCCATCTCTGCCATTTCAGTCATAAGTGACATAATAAACCATCTCCATTATATATGCTTAATACATAAATTGTAACCATATTATATGGAGCTAATTCTGATGCTTAATAAACCATCTCTGCCATTTCAGTCTAATGTAATTTCATTTGGTAAGATGCCCTATGCTCAGTTTCTTTGTAATGTAATTTCATTTGAACTAGTACAAATGCAAATTTTGGTTCATTTTTGCTTTGAGCTTTCCTTTATTTTGCTGCAGGTTCTATTTTACTTCTCCTTTACACTGCAAACGAACAAAATGAAGTAAAACCCATAACAAAATTAAACCAAAATTTGAACTCAACTCATTAGTACTATATTTCAAGAGGCATTGCAGCAAGCCTCCCCATTAAAAAAAAAAAGAAAGAAAGAAACAATCAAAATGGTGCTTCTGATAATTGTCCCTACACCCTTCAGCAGCATCATCCAGCCAAGGCTGTGACTAATGGAATCTGGTTAGGTGGAAAAACCAGTCACATTTTTTCTAGCTGGAATAGCCATTTAACCAGAAACCAGTACACTGCATTTGGACACCCAGCCAAGTACATGGACAAACAGACCAGTAGGCCAACCCGCAAGTTATGGAGTCAGCTCACATACTGAATTTTGACCTCTCATGCGCAGAGACTAGTTGGTGAGAATAGATCCAAACCTCCAATCCTTTATTAATCACTAGGAACCACTAAATATTAGATAATACAAGCCACTCATGTATTCAGAGCTGCAAACCCATCCAATTGGACATACCTCCCTCCATATTTAATTTGTTAATACTCGAATACAGAAGCATATACATTAATAAATTGATTGGATCCCTATTTGGATCACTAGGATCGGATTGGATGAATCCCTATTTTAATTAACCCAATTGACCAATTTAAAATCCAATCAAACCTATTTGAATTCAGTTAGGTTCGATTAATGAAAATGGTCTAAGCGAAGTGTTGATTAGGTTTCATTTCCAAGTACAATAGACTTCACTCATGGGCCTCACTGGGTCTGCCATGGACCATGGTCAATACTCAATACAACTTTTGGGGTAAGCCTCGGGAACGTAAATGTTAAATGGGTCCGCTCTAAATTGAGCGATTTGGATTAGCCAATTCTGGAGTCTGGACTTGGGCCATGACATAATGCCTGAGTTGCCAGCTACCGATTCTGCCCATTAAAGATCAGGGTTTGGGGCCCCATCGTTGGTGGATGGTGGGGGGTCATTCAAATCAAATTTATGTAGGAAAACATGAATCAAAGAATGCAACTACATGTGCTACTCCTACAAAGGATGAATGAAAAGGGCAAGAGTAGATTACCTGAGGCAAGCTTTCTCCCAGCCAGGGAGCTGCTGCATCCTGGACCAAAGATCAATAACAGGTAGCCCACATTCACCAGCAACCTCAACGCAGGCCTTCGCGTAAGCGCCGGCAGCCTCATTGGTCCTTTCCGGCAGACCTGAGGGGTTGTCGCCATAAGGATGCCTGTGTTTATTAGACACAAAGCCTTATTAGACACATAAGGCTCAGTTTGGAAAGAGAGGAGAGTTGTAGTAAATGGAGGAAATTGTTAAAAGCAAGGCAATAATAGTAGAAAAGGGTACTTCATACTTGAGGCGTCCGTCTTCATCGATGGGAGGAGGAGTGATGAGGAGTACGAAAGTGGTAGGCCATCGCTTCTGTACCAAGACAAACAAAGCAAACAAATCAGAGACGCAATCACCACTACATAATTACACATCATATTGATACCTGATAATAGGAACGACGAAGATTTTGCAGGGACGAAAATATACGATGGTGGGACACCGGGGCCCTCTCTGTTGGCTGTTGGGCCAATAAAAGTGGGCCTCAGCCCTCAATTTGTTAGCCGACAAGTGACATCCGTCCTTAGTAATTGGTGACATCGGCCGGGCCTGGATGGGCCGGGCCCTGCCGTAATCGTTGTCGTCTTGACTCTTGAGTAGTCTTCACCTGGATTAATTCCCACCGACCCTTTACTGTAGCGTGATCCCATGCATCCCACCTAACATAACTTAAACTTATTAAACTCACTAACAGCCAAGATCAAATGGTTTTCCTGGGTCCCATGATTGGCCATTAAAATTCGAAACCAACATCCTTCAGTTTCTAATTCCATCCGGGTCCGATTTTATTAACATGATCAAGGAAGCACCTTAGTTATATAGCCCTGAAAGGATAAAAGACAAGAACAAAGCACTATGAACATGAGTGGTTGTACTTATTTAATACAGGTATGGATCTGGTTATCAGTTCCAACAAGAGGTCCAGTCCACGTCCCGAAACGACCCATGATGTTTTTAAGTTATATTATTATAATATATGTAAATAGAAAGGGTGAAACATGACTCGAGTAATTCTATTTGGTATTACAGTCCACTCAATCAAAGATGGAGGAGAGAATGCAATGGGAGCCACATGGAGGGTAAAAAAGTGTGGCAGAAATGGGCCTTTGTACGAATTGAATCCCTTCATTAAATGGCATCTGTTTTAGCCACATGGAGAGGGGTCAGCTCTCTCTCTCTCTGGAGCTGACATAGACTTCAGAAATCAGAATCATAGAACATGTACCTCCATATAGGCTTGGCCTCTCGGGCCACGCCTGGATTATATGATATCCAGAAGACCAGACCTCTCCTTTTAGTGGGCTTGTTGCTGATGTGTGATGGGGGTCCAAAGCAGTTCCATCTCTATGTGTCTGAGGCTTTTGAGGCTTTAAAGGCTTTGAACCTTAGAGCTTAGAGACGGGAGGGGGGCCTGGCCTTTCACCTTTGGTGTGATAAAAGGCCGAAAAATGGAGTGGACTCCTCCCCCCCAAGTCACCAAAGCTAATCAAGATTGAAAGCATGGCTAAGCCAAATAGCCAATGGAGAGGGGTCACTACATCATTGACAATGTGAGTTGATAATGTCACCTCTTCACATGGAACTCCCCTCTGATCACTCTCTTTTCTCTTTCCTTCTGGTAAACGTAGCTATATATTATATATCTATCTAACCCCAACTCAACTCATCCAGCCATTTTTTTTTTCCTTTTATTTAATAATATAATATTTATCATGCTATTATAGGATAGAATTCTAAAACCAGTAAGGATTTTCTTTTCCATAACCTAGCTAGAGGCCTAGTGGTCTATTTGGTTGAAATTTTAGTTTGTTATCAACTTTGTATGACTCCATAATTTTGGCATTTTTTTTCTTTCTTTCTAGTTTCTTATTCTTCTCCCCAAACCCCACAAAATACTGATCAAGCCAAATGACTCTCCAAAAAAAAAAAAAAAAGATAAATAAAATTACTAAAAGACCTACCTCCTACCCCACTTATGTAAAGGCACTACCCAAAATACCCTTGCAAACAGACCTGTCAGCATAGGCCATAAATAAAACTGATGATAACCAGCTAGTGGGATTTTCTTTTGTTACAGGCACAAGTAGTGGGATTTCTCTCTAGAAAAAAGGATCTGAATTGAACTCTCACATAATTGGACAGGCAATACTGAGCACATCAGCATGAATTTTATAAAAGGGTGAAAGGGGAAGGGTCCCCCATCTAATGGCTAATGGTCAAGATACATTATAAAATAAAGGGTGTGTGCACCAATAAACAGACAACTGGGGCCTCAAACGTACACACTTTGGTTGACACCCCGTCTTCTCTTCCTCTTAATTGATTGAGCTGCCTGGCTTTTGTATTCCTTCTCGATCCGTACCAACAGCACTCCCCCCATTGCCTCACATCTCCATATCGTCCCTCATACGGCCAACTAGACCTCACATGAAATAATGGGACCGTTACGTTAGGCTGGAACTTCCCATTTACAGTCTCTGATTCTCAGTCTCCATTTTTATCGTTAGCCTCCTCCTCCTAGCTTACCAGTAATGGTATTTCTTTCTACGTGAGAGAAATAAAAGGAAAAGAAGAAAGGTGGGATGGAGCTGGCGCTGACACATTTCTTCTCTAATTTTTCTATCTTCAGCTTTCTTTCTTGTAGCCAGCCAAACAGAAGAAAAGCTGGCTCCTAGAGAAAGATTAATCAGAAATTCAGAAATGAAATCAGAGACGTATGGATAATAGAGAACAGAGACGAATAGAGTAGAGAGACGAGCACTAGAGACAACTACAGACATAACATGTGAATGAGACAAAGAGAGACAGAGAGAGAGAGAAGACCTTGATAAAGGAGACGATGGAATGGAGATTCTGCTTGTATTCTTCGAGCGGCACGTGTTGGAAAGCACTGCTTCTATCTGAAAGAGAAGCGTCGTTAGCACCGAAGAACACGGCCACCGCTAACGGTGCTTCTCTACCTCCGCCACCTTCCGCCTCCGTCGCCGCCGGGAACACCCTCTCCGCAACGTGGAGAGCCCATCGGGTGTTATACCCACTGTATCCTCGCAGCACGACGTCAACCTGATCGACCCACAGAAGAAAAACAAAATTTACCCAAGTGTAATAAATCTCGAAAGTCGAAACGCATCTATATGATCGATTGATTCGTTGAGAAACAAGCAAAACAAAATGATAACTGATAACACCTGTATTCGGTCTTAAGAAGATTACCGTGCGAGCAAAATGGTGGGCAAGAGAAGCTCCCCAACCTCCATCACCGAAGGATTCTTCGGTGATGGAGTCTCCAAAGAGAACGATCTTCGGTCTCATCTTTCAGGAATCTTTCAACGACTGATATGAAATCCTTGTTCTTCTTCCTCAAACTTGAAGCGGGCCCTGCTTATATTATCCTAACTTTCTTCAATTCTCTTCTCTCCTGCACTGATTCTTTCACATGGCTTGCTGCTCTGAAACCTGCAGCCAGACCTCCACTCTGTAAATATAGAACTCCAATGCTCTCCTCTCTCTCTCCCTCTCTCTCTCACTAAAGCTGCTCCACCATAAATGCCTACCCTAATAATTGCATAAAAAGCTGGTAATTAAAGTCGAGATTTTATTGCAGATAGAAGGGGAAGTTGCGTTACTTACTTATGGGTTTTTACAACTTTAATGTCTCCGACTCTCCAACACTTCTCTCTCTCTCTCTCTCCAGATTTCACTCCTGAAAGTGGAATGATATTTTTCCTATTTCGGTTGCCTCATTTCGCCAACGTATGTATGAAGGTTGTTCCAACACTGGGCATAGCTCCTCGGTAGGCTAAAACTCCAGACAATCCCTTGGTATGCACTGCAATTACGGAGGTGCCACTGCCACTGCCACTACCCGAATATTAAATGAGTCCAGTTTATGTGTTTATGTCACCCAAAGAACGGGCCGGGTGGATACATGAAATGATGCAAATCTTCTGATTTCCGATAGAATCATGGAACCGTTGGATAAGGAATTCAGGTCAGCAGTTGTTATGGGCTGGACTTCTCTACCCGAACATTCAAATGGGTCATGAAAACCCGAATCTGGAATCCGTTCTGATCCGGACTTTAACCAGAGAGAGACAGTTATTTGTCTTATTGCGCCCCAGACCTCACATGGTGGCTACATGCAATGTTAGTTAACTGTCTTCCGTGGATTCTCCCATTAATCAATCTGGGCCGGCGAATCGAGCCGCCGCCCTTCTTGGATTTGGGTCCTCCTTAAATACACATGGGAGAGGAGATCTAATTTCTAGCCCACAATCCATGAACCGTCGTTATGATTGTGCTCTGAATCCTCAGTTTCACACAGCAGCTGTTTTCATCAGTTCGTAAATGCACTCGGGGGGCAATCCGGTCAAAGCGAAATCACAAGGGCATTTCCGTCTTTTAAGAGGATGGCTTAAGTGAGAGCAGACCCTGATAAGCCATTGGTGGGTCGGTAGGGGGTTTAAATGAGGCCACGCTCGAATATTAAATGCTCTATCATTATTATTAGTATTGGACGCAAAAGAACCTTAAATGGAGGTGACGGACTGATGGGCGAGAAAGACTGATGGAGCGCTGCTTCATTGGAAGCAGCGGCCACTGGCCAGCGAGCGACAATGGTCTCGAGGTGCTTGTGGGCTGTGGCTATTTGGCAGTAACTTTCTGGTCAGTCACACGTGTAAGATCGCGTGTCGTGTTGGAGTAAGAGGAAAAGAAAGCAATGAGAAGTTTGTTTGGATCCGGATACAGTCAGTGCCAAGACTGCAAGGCGCGTTCCAACATCCTTTATAGCCTTGCATTGAGAATATCTCCCATGTGAAATAAAACACGGAGATGTTCCCAAATCCCAATGCAAGGCTGTTCGAACAGATCCTGCACTGATTGATACCGATCTCTGTTTGTTACCATACGTTTATACTTTTATACCGACTGTGGTAGTGTGGTCTGTGGATGTGATCTCTCTCTCTCATGATGGGTCAGTGAGGGTGACTCGGTTATGTAAGTCTGATTGAGTCTAGAAGGTAGCCATGTTGGGTTTGTAGCTTTGCATAGGCACAGCTGGGCTCCTCCCGTTTATATACCCAATTGACCATTACATCTACATGGTGGTGGTCCACTGGGTTCAAAGATTTCTGATGAATTCTGAGTGCTTGTGTAGGTGGGTCATTCATACATAACATAATTGAGGGTCTTAGGGCTTTGCATTCACAGAGCAGAGTCTTCTTTTATTAGTAGTGATTCCGGAGGAATTTGTGTGATGAACCACTTTTAAGGGTATCTTGATCTTTCCACCAACACTAACTCCCTTGCTAATCAACATCAAGAAAAGAGGGTAGATCAGAGTCAAGAATAAATATCTCAGTCTTGTGGTCTCTTGTCTAGTGGGAAAAGGGTATGCACTATTGTAGAAAATTGTAGAAGGGAGAAAGAGCTCTTGACTTCACAAAAGGTGTCATGAACCAGTGGAAAAAAAAAGAATCAATGGAAATGAAGAAAGAGAATTTAAGTAAGAAGAAAATGGATGAATCTTGATTCATGAAAACACATTACCCAATTCGAGATCAGTTATGTTGTGTTTGGGCAAAATTTGTAAAATTCCTTGAGAATTTTCCATCAACCTTTATTTTTTCTCTCAAACCAAGACAGCCCTGAGGATGATACTTGATTTGCTATTTCTCTCTTTTAGCTCTACTTTTCATATGATTTCACTATACATCTCAATTCCCAACTCAAAGGTTTCATACTTTTCTTTCTTTCCACGTTTAAATCAGAAGAGACCCATGCAATACAAGGACTGGTGTTAAAAGATGCCCATGTTGGCATGTTCTATAAGAGAGTATTTACATTCAGTTCTCTAATAAAAAGGAAACTGAACTGGTTGTGGGGACAAGTTTAAACAGTCCGGATCTCCTAAACTTAAGGTTTTATGCTAAGCTGTACACTAATCATTGAGAATTCATCAAAATTCATTCCATGGTTTAGGAGATCCTATCTCTAAATTTCACTTTTTTTAGCACAAATCCTTAAGTTTAGGACATCCTATCTCTAAAATTTCAAAAAAGAAGAAGAAGAAAAAAAAAAAACACAATTCTAAGAGGATTTTAAGCAGTCTGAGGAGGAAAAAAAAACTGGCATGAACAATTGTGTTTTTAAGTATATAGATAGATTCAATTGTAAAAATTGTGTGGTTCCATGTTAAACATTACATCTAGTTGGAAAATTTTTCAAGCAAAAAAATAGGTAAGAAAGGAAGAAAGAAGAGTTGGCAAGGTAAATTATAATAATAAACTCTGTTAGTTTCTCCAAGATATGATTGATAATGTGTGGTGCTGAAGGTAGCAGCAATGCAGAAGTATTGCCCATTTTGTGACATGGTAGTCAAAGATGCTATTTAGCTTAATGATATTCTTAGCATAATGGGCTCCAGGCTCCTACCACGCATGCCCCACTATGATATTTTGTATTAAGTTGATCAGTAGATAATTAGATCTTGGAGACTTGGAGTAGCATAATCAACACCATAAATCTGATTTATTAGATGAGTTATTATGATTAAGGTTAATTAATTTTACAGACTTTTAGACATGGAGGGTTAGAAGTAGGAACTGATGTTGAAGAGCATAAGATTTTGATTTATCTTTATAATTAATTTGCACTAATGTACTATGATTATTCTATTTGAAAAACAATGCACGCTTTTGATTCATATTGGATCATCAAGTGTGTGAGATAATTATGGGCCCACATCAAATCTTTATCAAGCACTTTTCATTGACCAAGCCCACCAAGTATTCTCTAGATTATTCCCCCCTATTAGCCTATATGTGCATCAAAGATTCAAAATTGAAGCCCGGAGGGTTGTTATAATCCGGAAGGGTCACAAAAGTCATAACCCCACTTATTCTATTGTTTACTTTCAACAATCAACGGCATAACTCTCTCTCTCTCTCTTTCTTGGTGGTCCAAATCCAAGCTCATCTACATTTAGTGATGACTATAGAACTAAATTAAGATTGATCAAAAGTATAAATTAAAACCCATGTTTAGTTATTAATTGCAGAGTTTAATGTTGTTCATAATTACCATGTACATTACCTTTTGCCCATGATGAAACATAAAAAGATAAGGGGTTTTTTTATTATTTTATATCAAATGGAATGGCATGAAATCAACTTGGGTTAAGTTGTTGATTCATGGCATTAACCATTAGCTCAAGTTGGTATTCAATGGATATATTATTAATTCGATTGGTTATAATGTCACCCTGCAAATTGGTGGTGGCAGCACAGTGCTTCCATGGTGGAAAAGTTGAAGCAACGCTCCTGCTCCAGGGAAAAAGATGAAATAAGGCTGTTGCTCATTGTCATCGCTCAATGCCCTATCGATCGATCTCTACAGCCATGCCCACACTGCCAGATGGATACAGCAAGTGATCTCACAAGCCAACAAGCACAGAATTAGAAACAGAATACAATAAGGCCATCGATTTATATTCAGTTTCTTTGACACAATTACAGTTGTAAATCTTAGTGTCAAAGGGGACCAAACACACACATATATATATCTTCTGTTGGAAGGTGGGGGATTCACATATGGACGGCTTTATTGAATCACAACTTGAAGAGATAAGTTCTTTTTTTTCTTTCTTGCTTTCTTGCTCTTAGGGGATAAGGGTTCAGTCACTACTTGACAAAGAGATCTCAACGGCCAAGAATATTCCTCCTGGTAGATTTCTTGGGAACCTGAAACCAGGCTAGATAGCTCTATCAAGTGGAAGGGTTTTAGCCCAAGAGATGATGGTTGATGAAACAGAATTGGAGCTTAATCCAAACACCAAATTATAGGAACCCCAGATGATGGATAGTCAGGAATTGGCATAGTATCTCAACCACCATGGCTGATGAGTGATGAGATGAGGAGAAATCACCTAGCAAAGAGACACGGATATATGACTCGTCTTAGTACACCTTTTCCCTTTCCTATCTTCTTGATGCACCCTTTACATTTCAATGTACTGTATCATCTTTTAAAAGAAATCCTGCCTTGTGTTGTGCTTTTAGGGGAGTCTGATACCATTCCAACAATAGTGACTGTGAACAATGGCCGAATATTGAAGGAATCTTCAACAATATTGTTGACACTTTCTTTGGCACATCACCAAATCTCTACAATAGATCATGATAGTTTCTAGTATATATTCTGTCATTCTTTAGGGTTTCTTGGTTACTGCTACAAGTTTTTATTCATCTTCTTTTTTATGTTTTTCCTTGTAACCCATATAGTTGGTTGCTTTTAAAGAACAACCTCTCTCTCTCTCTATATATATATTCTTTTCTTTTGCTTCTTTCCTTGGGTAAACGCCACCCTTCTGTAAACCCTAGAGGCAAGCTATCTCGCACTTGGAGGTACAATATTCGGTGCGAAGAATCTAGCAAAGATGATGTGGAACCCTTTCTTCAAGTCATTCCTATGGGCTGAGGAAAGGATTGGTGGAGGTTCTGAGTGCTCAAATAATGCTCGGAGCATAGTTCCAATGATAGTGGAAGTGTTCCATACGAGGTTAATTATAACTTTTTTTGCACAATTGGCCAATGTGATCAACAATTAATACATAACAAATGAGCCCATTTCCTTATGTGCGTTGAAGTTGGACAACAACCTACTCTCAACTTGTTTTATGGAATTATATATATATATATATATATAAAGAGAGAGAGATTAATCAAAGTTTCTTAAT